CATGTCGGGTGAAACGCACGCAGCACTGTTGAACGCGGATCGTCCCAGAAACTCCAAAAACCTCTCGTTAAGCTAAAACCATTTGCATTGTGAAAGGGTCCCTAATGTGATATTAGGTTGTACTCCTCTTAAACTCTTAAACCCAGACTGCATCTTTTACAGCCTTACCAAGACATTGTGTTTAGGTTCTGCTGCTGTGTTAATTTGTTTTCAAGTCTCTTTGGTGAAGCACTTGCAGTTTCCCTTGAAGAAAACGCTTCCCCAGCTTTCTATCTGGTCCCTGGATGTGTAAACCAATCTCGGAAGCCTTATGTACCAGGTACGTCCTCAGCGACGCTCCGCGACAGCGTATGATGCGGGAGGATACGAAGCATTGACGACAGAGAATAATCCCAGCCACTAGCCTTTTCAACTCCCACGCACAGTTCTCAGTGTCAGGCAATCAATAAGCAAGATGCTGCAAGAGTCCGGCTGTAAGCGTGAGGAGTTCGACTTGGAAATCAGCTCGGACTCGTCCCCTCCTACCGTAAGTCAGGGCAGCTGGTCCGTGTCCGATGCTCAGGTTGAGATGTCAATCTGTCGAAGGGCATGTCGTCTCCGCTGAGTCCTCCTGTGCTTAGTCGGAGGTTTGACTATTCGGATGAGCGCGTTGCACCTTGGATTATTTAGAAACCAGTTGTCACACTTTGGAGAGCAGCTTCTCTGGCGCTCGGTACCATCGTGAGGATCGAAGGGGCCGCCGTTCTTCTCATCCGACCCGAGCTGAGGGATCTGCCTTGTTCTACAGTGAGCGGCAGTGTGGAGAGGCTCTATGCTCGGAACGATTCGGAACGCATGTGAGCGCGACCGCATGGTGAGATCACAAGCGTCTAAAAGCCTCAAAGCCGCCTCATCGATATGGCCGCAAATAAAGCGTTGGGTACGGCCAGAGGTGCTTGCGTGGTGCAGCACATGGTAGCAGGTTTGACCCACACGAGAACAAGAGCACGGTCAACTGCCATGCCACTGCAAGAAGATTTTCGTGGGGTGCGGTTGCAAACTATGCAAAGGTTCCCTGCCCCAAAAAACCCCGGCTTCACGTGCCGGCAATATGCACTGGCTTCAGGAGCATCATGAGCCAGACACGCAGAGACATGAAAGCTTCCTGTAGACTTTGTGCTTCGCGAAATGGCCCTGAAGGTGAACGAGAATGTGTCCGACTGTTCAGCTGCGTGTTTGGATACAATGATTGTGACCGCGTGCGGTCGGTGAACTTTGGATTTATGATTGGTTCAAGATGGACACGAAAGTTCAGGTGATTAGCTACTCTGGGGCATTTGAAATGGGCACAAAATTGGAACCAGACGGTTCCAGTCTTGGGGCGCGAAACTTTTGTACGGAACAAAAGAATTCCCCAGGAGACCATGTCATTCCCGGCAACCATTTTGTATTGAATTCCGCCATATGGAAGTGCGTAGCATGATCAAAAGGAAATCGCTAACATCGCCCAATTCGGAAGTAAGACCATTCTTCAACGTGGAAGCCGGAAGCGGCCTAAAGTCATCCAGTTGCTCCAACCGCTCTGCACGGTCGTTTATGGCAGATTTTCGCTGAACGGCAGTGAGTGCATGCCAAGCAATCTCCAGCTTTGCGGACCTGAGGAGGCGGCTTCGTTTGAGCGACTTCAACGATATGAAGGTGCACACAGTGCACTTAGAAGGTGTGGAAGAGACTACATGTCAAGGGACACTTAATGCGTCCAGCCGCGCTTCCCGCGAGACTTGATCAACTGTCGTCGGGTCACTGGAGTTCCTGGCCGTAGTACAGACCCACAAAATCGTCTTCCTTGCCATTCGCCACGGCACAGAGACATCCTAACCACAGGCCTTGGATTCCAATGCCGTGCCGCACGAAGACAGCGACGGCAGCGAGCTGAGCGACAGCGCACTTCCCATGCAGGCCTGTGATGAGCTTCCGAATCCTAGCAGTGGCCCTGAAGACGATAAATCCGAGATCACCTTGGTTCCTGGCAGGCACCAGATGAGTAAGTTTCACCAGTTGATGGGTTGAGATCCTGCCAGCGGCAGTCGAAGCAAAGAGTCGTGGAGGATCTTCCTCGCGCAGGAAAAAGCATTGCCAGTCATCAGGTCGTGAGTCATGGTGAGTCTACCACTTCGAAGATGTTTACGTGACGGCCCAGATGTTTCTGCGCTTCTCTCGTGGCTCAATTCTAGGTGCGGGTTCCCATATTGTCTGTTCCTCTGCGGCTGGAGCCATGGCCGCAGAGGCCTAAAAAATTGGGGACCCACACGAAGAGGGACCCGACCCAGCCGTCGCGTTTTGGGCAGGCAGAGATGCATTTGGCCAAGTCGTGCCGAGTGACAGCTCCGCTCCCGGCATCCCGACATATCCCGACCTTCGCGACAGCGATTTGAATTGAAGTTGCTTGCCCAGGTCGAAACCGAGGTGCCCATCGTTCAGACCCGAGTGATGTCAGTCTTTTGATGACCGAACCAGCAGATGTTTACTGTTCTGCGAACTTAAGGATTGTGATCTTGGGCATTTGGGTCTTGATCCCCAGCTTCCTCAGACTCAGAGCAGCTCTTCGATGCTTGATGTAGCAAGTCGTGCCTAGCTGCAGTGCTTGGCAGAAACAATGAAGAAGGGTACATAAGGGAACAGCAAGAGCGAGAAATCTGCCACCGAAGCATGTACAGAGAGAGGGTAGGATGACATAGGCTCGCCGATCCATGCTGATGTGTCTGTCGGGGGACCAAACTATTTCTGTGCAATGTAGGTGTTCCAAAGAATTACTGTACTGGGCTAAGTATTGGGGGAAGCTTTCAATTGTTTTCCAGAAACATCCGATACTAGCTGCCATTTCACGTCCTCCCGAAAGCCCCATGAAATGTGGCCGGGGGTTTGACAGACCCCTCATGCCCTGGGGAAGAAAGAGAAAGAGCAACCACCCCGAGAAATCCCGAAGCCGTGAGCCATCCCACTGCAGCTGGCTGCAAAAAGTGAAGATGTCCTTTCGATGATGACAGTGACCATCCTTTAATTCGTGTTGAGGGGCACTCACTCCAACCTCGAACCCTAGAATGGTGTGCCCGCAGCAGGCATAAGACTTGCGAGGCCGTTAATTGAAGCACGTTTTTCCCTTCGGACACGCCTCACTTTTCTAGCTTTGAGCACTGCACAAACTCGGGGCACCCACATCTTTGCTTACGCTGTACCCGCTGTTTTGATCTTCAGGGAACCTTTGTGACAGTGAGTGCGGACACCCAGTAGTGTGCAACAAACTTGCTCCCACGGAGGCACTTCCCTCTGTTCGCCATGTCCAGACCTGCCGTCCGCTGTGCAGCCGAGCCCTTTCCGCCCCACAGAGTGGATGGGGATGCGCTCCGGCGCGTGTCAGGGGGCCTGCCTCTGACTCTAACCCCAAGCAAAGCAAATTCAAAACAAGAAAGAGCCATTTGGCTCAAGCTGTGAGAGGTTCAAGCTCTGAGTTCCGACCCTTCGCCCACGGGGGACTCCTCTCCTTCTTGCTGAACTAAGGGACTCGGGGGTTCCAACCCGGCCGCCTGACTGCCTCGTTCCATCTTCCCGCCGCGATTCCACGGCTTCCACACTGAGATCCTTGTCCGGTGAACCTTAGGGACTTGCGACCAACTACCTCACCGAGACGAGCCTTCAAGAGGCCGACCCAACCGTGATTCGCGACGGGGACCAGGGTTGGGAGGCGCTGGTGTCTCGTAGTGTAGTGCCGGTGTACAGGACGTGTGCTTCGGCTGGAATTTCTGTGGCAGCCGGTATTGGCATTATCCCTATTGCGCCAGGTCGTTGGGGTGGGCTCCACTAGCGTGCAGCCGTCCTGTTCCCACACGATCGGGAAGGTATCCCTCTGCTGTGCTGTGCTGCTGCCGCGTTGGTAGCCTTGTCCGCTGGGCTGGGTCCACTGAATGTCCAAAACTGGTGGCTCGTCTTGGGCTGCGCCGGGATGGATCTGCCCTTGCTACTGCAGTTGCTGAGCGGGTTGGTGCTGTTGTGGTTCGAAGTGCCGCTCTGGCTTCAGCTTGTAGACGGGCGTGTGTGCCCGCTTTAGTGGTGGAGTCTTCGGCCGTGGCGAGGTCTGTGCTGTGCTGTTGGTTGGTGTCGTCTCGGCTGCCTTGCTCCAGGAATGCTGGGTCGGCGTTGTTCGAGCTGGGGGTGGGGGGCCAGTCTTTTTGGGGATGGATGCCACAGCCAGTGCTACACCTGTCGCCACGTCAAGTGGCCAGGTTTTTCCACCCGTTTGGCGGACTCTGCCTGGATGTGGCTTTTGTGCGTTGCTGCTCACCCTGGCCCGGGTCGGACTTCCAGAATGGGGTCGTGGTCGAGCTCTTGCAGGGAGGCTCGCAAGTGGGCCCACATTGCTTCCATGGGCTGGGTTGCTGCCGCCGCCGCTGTGTGTGCTGCGTCGGCTGCACTTTGGTCGGTGGATGTGGTGCGCCTCGGCTGTGGTTGCTTGACTGGCGGATATAACCAGCTTGGTGTCCTGCTGTCGGTCCCACAGGCGGCGTCTTTGGTTTGGCTGGGGAGAGTCGTCTTGGTGGTTGCTGCGGTGGCGCCTTGGGTGGTGCTTGATGGATCGCGTTTGGTTGCAGTGCGTGCTTGTGGCTCCGAAGGGGGCGCTGGGTCAGCTGCTGCTGCTGCTGCATGTATTGTTCGTGCTGGCGGTCTGGGGGGATGGATGCTTGCACTCATGCGGGCAGGCCAAAGCCCCGCAGCCACAGCCTCCCAGCAACGGTGCTCAGGGACGCAGGTGTGTTCTACGGACTGCCTGGCAAAGCAAGCCTTGGACGTGTTCAAAAGATGAACTTGTCAAATTGTCAAAACGAAGCAAGCACCGACAGTCCAAAAGGCTATCCGTGAGTTAATGAAATCACACGGAGCCCAAGTGAGATTGGGAAAGATGTGCCGTCTGACCAGGTCACGACCAGCCGCTTGCTTCAAAAATTCTGAAGAAGCGCCGTGATGAAATGGCGCGGCGTATGCGGCTGCACTTTCGGCATGTTATACGGCAGCTGCTGAGCTTGCACGTGACTTTTGATTCGCCACAACCTTAATATCATCTGCCGACAGATCCAGTGGCAGGCTTGACCCTCGCCAGAGGGTCGGGGGCGTACCTCACGAGGCTGAGGCATGAACAAGCCGTGCCTGGTGCAAGTTGTGCTCCCGGCCAGGTCCTTGCAGGGCAGCTGGAGGGGAAGAGACGAGTGGTTGAAGCAGTAACCTGAGCAGCAGCTGCGAGCAGTGTTCAGACGGTTTCAGGATGTTTCAGGCAAAGCCAGAATGGCCTGCACGCTTCCCAGGCCGAACAGGCAGAAGACGCTTTCTACGCTCAGAGTGCAGTGCTGCAGGAGCTGTCGGCGAGCTGACTTCTGATTGAGTCTCAACCGATACACGACTTCAGCAGGATCAGATCCTACAAACCGTCGAGGGCATGAAGGTTTCGGGCCGAAGAGTCAATTGCTGGCAATTTGCATGCAATTGCACGCAAGCATGCTAGAGTCGCCATGTGCATGTTTTTCGGAACAAATCTCAAGCCGCCCGGAATCGCATATCGGTGCGTGAATTATGAGCTGCAAAGACACTACACTGATACCGCACGGTGCAACCTGCTGTCTTCCGGCAATTCGGCGAAAACGATCAGATGCCATCGCTTCAGTGCCACTTTTGGAGAAAGATCCACAAGATTCTATCTGAAAACTCGGTGCAAGTTTTGGTGAATGATCCGATCAGAAGATCGCCACCTGGGGATTTGGCGCAACTATTGGCGAATCGTTTGTGCAGTATATGCGTTTTTTTGTGTTGGGGGAGGGGGGGGGGGCGTGGTTCAGGTATATTCAGGTTCATTTTAGGATTGGGGCTTCTGGAACCTGGAGGTGTACTTCTCTCAGGGGCTTGTGAGAGCTTTTGCACTTGGGTGGCATGGGTTTGTGCGAGCTGTGTGCAGGGTTTTGGAGTTTGGGTTGAGGGTTTTGTAGGTTGGGTGTTCGAATGGCACTTCCACAAGACACGGTTATGTGTTCCACGCTTGTATTATCTTGCGTCATTTTGCATTCTTCGTTGGAAATGGCGCTGGCTTGGCTTAGTCTTGTTTCCGCTGGCGGCATCATTAGTGACCGCAATGCTTTTGCAGGTTTGGAAGATGCGGCTTCATACGGCTTCAGGTTTTTGAATGGTTCAGGCTTCAGACGGGATTTCTCTCCCTAAGTCTTGCGGCAGGGAGATGATTATGTCCTGCTTCTTGCGACCGCCACATTGCTGAGCTTGCTGAACGCGTCATGCATCCAACCCTCGGGCTGACTCTTGCGCTGGCATGCCTGCTACCTCCCAGTACTTCTACTAATACTGTTGCTCTGTTACTCCTGCTGCTGCTGCTGCTGTGCACTCTCCCAACCAGTTCCGGCCAGATAACAAACAAGACCAGAAGCAACCAGAGCAACCCAACGACTCAGCAAAAGCTTTCGTTTCGAGGTCTCCTGTTGCTCTCTACTGCATAGAAGATATAGAAGCAAATCCCTGAGAGCTCTTTGCGGGACGCGCCCGCACGGATCCTTATGAAGGACAAGATTCAAGCTCATATGCACAGCGCCATGGAGGAAGTGTAAGTAGATACACACATGTGATAGATAAATAGATATATATATATATTAACATGTATATATATATGTGCGTGTGTGTACATATATATATATGTGTGTATATATATATATATTATGTATGTATATGTATACTGTATATGTACGTATACAGTATCGGCCTGTGCGATCCGTCGCGTGCAAGCTTGTCCCAGACTGACTGACAGTCGGTCGGATTGCGGACTTCACTACAACAGCCGTGAGGCGCTGCGTGCCCGCGACAGACAAATGGCCGTTGTAGACTACTCCCTGGCCAACTTGCGCAAGGATGGACATTCTGCGGCATGCGACTGATGTCCTTCTGCCTGATGCAACAGAGTCCAATTTCACAAGGAGCAGCGGCGGGAATACGCTTTAAGTGATCCGGATGCTCTGAAGAAGGAGATGCTGTCCCCAGCTTAGCGTTTTCAAGCTCCTGGTAATGGTTGTTTCGGATTCGTGTGCAGCACACGGCATTGTCGCTAAATGTCGGCATCTAAAACGCAAGTCTAACACGACAATCATGGAAACGCGCGATGCCATTGTCATCGGCATGACAGTTGTGACCCTGTGGGGTTTTGGTACATCAGGCATGGAGCTGGCGGCTCGACCGGTCCGTAATGAGCACTAACCCCGACGTCGCATGTAGAAACCTGCAGAGCTCAACCTGCTGACATCGTCGAGAACCTGACAGGTGCCTTGGAGCTCATTCAAGACTACAAAGATCCGAAGACACCCTAGCACATGCCCCTAAAGGACGCCGCAACGGGCGCAGCCTTTTCGAAGTTGTTTTCAATAGCTGTGACGGAGGCCTGATCCGGACGATCCCTCCTTCGGGCCCAGTTCCATGCTCAAGCGCAATCCTCAGACCGACGGACAGCGCTGGTGACGTGGATTCGTGAGGCAAAGCACCATGCACTCTGGGGTGACATGCTGTGTCTAGCTGCGTCTTGCAGATGATCCGGGTCAGGGTTGGTCGCAAACAGGCTCGCCTGAACAGAGTAACATACTCAAAAAGGCGATGTTTGCTGCTTGCATGAGGTTTATAATGCGTTAGCCGGCCAGCTCAAGCTCCCGCGCTGCCGTAGTAGAAAGGCGACGTCTGTCGTGAGCATAGGTACCTTTGCCGTTCGATTGCCGAGCCATTTGCCTCATAATTCTTTCGGTTAAGCGATCAAATCGATAAAGCTACGTTCCGATTGCGATGAAGGATATCATATCAGACGCGTTCATGGCAACCTGTATGCTGCACGTCGTTGCCCCACTGAAAGCGATCCCACGCAGGTTTCCAAGCCATGGCTTTGCACTCAGATTCAGTCAGGGGTGGTGACCGAACAGAATCTGACGCTCCGTCCAGGATAGACATTATCTAGCACGCTGGCCGCACCGCTAAGGAAAAGCATCCGCGGAGGCGAAGCGTGAGAGCAAGACGCTGAGAGCTGGTGCCGGGATTCTTCAGAGGGTCCAGGTATCGTTGCCTCAAAATCTCAAGCCTTGATCTTGGTGTCTGGCTGATGTGCCGGTTGCCACTCTACGAGGTCAAGAAGAGCACGTAGCCTGGCTCCAGTCAAGATCTCAGAGCATTCACAGTCAAGCACTCTTTTGCAGCAGCCGTGCGCGCTCACGGTGTGTTCATGCATCTGAAGTCTGGAAGTTTGCAAGCTCATTTTGCCCAATGCATCTTACTAGGCGAGGACGCTTGAAGCATGAATGCCAGGTATCAGGTGCAAGAGAAGCTAGATCGCCAAGCACAAGAAAAGGCTATTGACAAGATGCATGACGAGCGAGCTCTCGGCTCGGACAACGTAGCATTGAGTCTTAGAAGGGTTTGAAACGTCTTGGCTTTGGAATGCGATTTGAGAGCCCCAGGCCATGCTGGCATCGCAAGTTCGTGCAGTTTGCGAAGACAATGAGCTGCAGGAGCTGGGTGGTGACAGTTGCTCTTCGTTGCACAAGACGTGGGTTGTAGTAGGAGAAGCAACTGTGGCAAGTGTGCAGTGTACTGCTGCTGCTGCTGCTGCTG